TTAATCAGTTTATAATCAGAATATTTATTTGTATTTATTTAAAAATTTATCTACAATCAGTAAATTTACTGGTTTACCAATTTTCGATCTGTGTTTATCAAGCAATAGTTGGTAATAATTAGTTATCTTAAGTCAAGACTCAGATTGATTGGACTGTTGTAAAAATATTGTTTGAGTAAGAAGATTAAGAAATAGTTATCACTGTTAAGTTTTGTCAAATTACTCTTAAAAAAAATAGACTTATTAAAACTAGAGAGTTATATGAAGATGATGAAAATAAGATTATGACAGCAGGACTCTCACTGATAAAAAAAAGTTTAAAGATGAAGAACTTGAGGATTGAATCTATGGAGTTTCAGGTTTTGATAATTTTTTTTGCTTATCATTATTAGTTATATCATGTGATTCTAAACTATGTAAAGAACTTCTGATAAGTTAAGACTCTAAGGATGAATACTAGTTTGGAGATGTACAGTCACTTTTTTCTTTTTCTGACTTCTCTTACTTCTGACGAAAAGACAGATGAAGATCATGATAACATCTTGGCTAGTTCTTTATCACCATTACATCAAGATTTGGATAAACTTACTCTTAGTTATGTATTTAGTTATTTTAATAATATATATCCCAAAATATTATATATCTTACAAGACCCCATTGTGTGATAACTTTATCAATAACTTATTTATTAGAAGAAGGTGATGAACCTATCATCAATTTATTTAGTTTTTATTATTAGAAGAAAACTTCTGATATTACATATTATGTTAATAAACTGCTACAAAATTTTCAAGATTAATTTGAAAATTTTTTGCAAAACTACTATTCAAGTTTCATCTAAAAATCTAAAGAATTAGGCTATACTAATATATTTAAGCATAAAGTAAACACAGGTAATACCTCTGCTATTAAACTAAGGTCTTATCATTATACCTCTAAGAAGTATAAATTTATAAAGAATAAGATCATTTGGATGTTAAATAAAAGTATTATTCAAATTTTAGAAAGTTTGTAAATATTTTCTGTAATTTTAATTAAAAGAGAAAACAAAATTAGATTTTGTATTGATTATTGCAAATTAAATTTAGTAATGATTAAAGATAGTTATCTGTTTTTTTGTATTCAAGATTTGCTTAATTCTTTAAAAGACGCTTATTATTTTAGTTTTTTAGACTTTGCCAGTGAATACTGACAAGTAAAAATAGTTCTTTGGAATAGATATAAGACTATATTTATTAACCTATTTAGTTATTCAAATTTAATATAATGTCTTTTGTCTTATAAACATATCAATAATATTTTAATACTTGATAAATACTATATTTCAAGACATTATTGACTCATTTGTTATTATTTACATTGATAATATTATTATTTATTTTAAAAGTATTCAAAAGTATTCTGATTATGTAACTAAAGTCTTTTACAGACTAAAACTTGTTGGTTTAAAATTAAAACCTACAAAATATTTTTTTTTCTAGCAAGAAATTAAGGTATTAGGATAGAATATATTATAAATCACAAGGGTATAGGCACTGACTCAAAGAAAGTAGCAGCTCTAGAGCATTTTTCTATTTTACAAAATTTTGATATTTACAGAGATTTCTTGGTCTCACTTTGTATTATCAAAAATTTGTCTCTAAATTCACACAAATAGTAACTTCTTAAATACTTTATTAAAAAATGAAATCGTTTACAAATAGACAACATAAGAACGAAAAGCTTTCAAATTGTTAAAATCAAAGTTAATATAAGTGCCTTTTTTAGTTTACTCCAATTTTAATAGACTTTTTATTTTATTTACAGATGTTTCTGATATAGCATTGGATGCAATTTTATCTCAAAAAGATGATAAAGGCTATAAACAAGTAATTTTGTATACTAGTCAAGGTCTTTCGTCAGCTAAAATAATTATATCATCACAGAAAAAAAATATTTGGTAGCTGTTTGAGCTGTCAAATATTTAAACAATAACTTTATAGTACTTTCTTTACTTTGGTGATAGATTATATGGGGTATTATCAATTAAAACAGCCCTTTTTTGCATGTAAATCATTTTGAATAAATCGGGTTTAAAAAAA